TGTGGTCCCACATCAGAACCCAGAGCTGTGGTCCTGCATCCCAACCCAGACTAGGGTCCCATGTTGGAGCTGTGGTCCCACATCAGAACCCAGAGCTGTGGTCCTGCATCCAGTTCCAAGTGTCACAGCACCATATCTGTGCCACGGTCCCCCACCCAAAACCAGAGCCGTGGTCCCTTATCTGTGCCTGCCGGGTCAGGGAGAGGCTCTGGGGGATGCCCAGAGCAGCCTCACCCATGCGGGACCTGTTCACCCACGGGTGGGGATCCAGAGGGGTGCAACCCCTTGGCTGCGGGTGAGCTGGGACCGGGGCTGTCCCGTGGGCTCCGCGGGCCGGGGCGTGCCCTGAGCCGGTCCCGCGGTGTCCCCTGGGCAGGTCCGGGCCAGCGCCATCGCGCAGGACGCCGACCAGAACTACGACTACGCGAGTAACAGCGTCATCCTGCACCTCGACGCGGGGGACGAGGTGTTCATCAAGCTGGACGGGGGCAAAGCCCACGGCGGCAACAACAACAAGTACAGCACCTTCTCCGGCTTCATCATCTACTCGGACTGAGCCTGGACCCACGGCATCGCCCCCGGCACACCCCTGACTCCTCAGACCCACAACATCGCCCCCGGCACGCCCCTGACCCCCAGCCCCACAGCACCCCTGTGCCGTGGTTCAGTTCCTTGCTGCGCCACAACCCCTACGGTCTTCCCTTGCTCCTGCCCAGCCCCATAGCATCCCCCTGCCATGGTCCAGCCCGTGGATCCCCCCCCGCCGGGTGCTTTCGGCTTCCCACGGTGCCCCAAACCCCCCTTTTCCCATTAACTCACCCCACGGCTGCCAATTGAGGGCTTGGGGCTGCAGAGGGTTTGAGGGGGTGGCAAAAAAGCTGGGGGACCCCCTACGCTGCCCCACTGCCCCACCCCTCCCCCGGCTGAGCCCCTCCTTGCCCCTGATGCCCCATCCCCGCTGTTCTCCCCTCCCCAGGGCGGTGCCGGGGGTCTGGCGGGTGGGTCCCGATGTACAGACGTGCAGTGCCCACACGGCCCCGGGCTGGGGGGCTGAGCTGGGGGACGGAGGGAGCCGTCGGCCTGCCCCCCCCGGGGCGACAACATGGTAAAGCAGAGCTGTGACCTCTCCCCGTCTGCTGTCTGTGTCCCCGGTATCCCCCACCATGGGGACGGGGTCTTTCTGCCACCACCCCCCAGACCCCACTTGGCTCATCCAAGCCCAGACAGGAGGGGTCTCCCTGGCTCCAAGTGCTTGTGGCCCCTCTGCCACCTCCACTGGGGACACTGGGGCTGCCACCATGTCCCTGTCCCCAGAGGCTGGGTGGCCTCATGGAGGGGACACAGCATTGCCACTGTGAGGGGGGGAACACGGTCAGGCCACACAGAGGCACCGGGACCCTCGGGCACACATGCCCGTCCCCGCTGCCTCGGTGTGGGCAGGATGTGACCCAATTAGAGGTGACAGCGGGTGCCCGGGGCCAGTGGCTGCGTCCAGAGTGGCCGTGGTGGGGTCAGAGGATGGGAGCCTTGGGGACACTGGGTTGGGGGCGAGTGTCCTCCAGGTGTGTGGGGGTGTCCCCCAGGGGTGGGTGGGGGTGGAGGTGTGTCCCCAGGCGTGTGTGTGCTCCCAGGTATGGGTGTGTCCCCAGGTGTGTGTGTCCATGTCCCCCAGGTGTGTGCATGTCCCAGGCCTGTGTGTGTGTCCCCTGGGTGTGTGTGTGTCCCAGGTATGCATGTGTGCCCTAGGTGTGTGTGTGTCCCCAGGTGTGTGTGTGCTCCCAGATATGGGTGTGTCCCCAGGTGTGTGTGTGTCCCCCAAGCCCTGGCAGGTCCGGGTGCTGTTCCTCAGCACCGATCCCAGCTGCAGGCGTAGAGGCGGTGGCGGGGCCGGGCTGTCGGCCGCAGCCCCGAGCAGAAGGGCCACAGCCCCAGCCCGGGGGTCCCGGGACCCTCCCGGACCCTCCCGGACCCCCGGGGCTCTGACCCGCCGCTGTGCCGGGAGCCGCCGGCAGGGGGCGCAGAGGGCGGTGAGACTACAGTTCCCATGGTGCTTCGCGCGCCAGCGGGACTGCAGCTCCCATGAGGCACCGCGCGGCGCGGTCGGGGCGCGGCCAATGGGGAGTCGTTAGGCGGAGCGGGACCAATCAGGGTGCGGGGCGGGGCTTCGCGACTCATTTAAAAGCGGCGGCGGGAGCAGGGGAGTTGCAGCATCTGAGGGAATGGGTGCTGGGGAGGGGCGCGGTGGGGGAGAGTGAGAGCCTGTAAGTGCCTGAAATGTGTGTACGAGGGGCCGTGAGGGCACGGAGAGGGGGCAGGGCTCTGTGAGAAGGGCTTTGAAGGAGTAAAGGAGCTACAGAGCCCTCCGAGAGGGCCTTCGGGGGCCCACGGGTGGGGTGCAGGGCCATAGGGGAGGCTGTGGGTTAAGGGGCTGCCCAGGAGATGCACAAAGAAGTCTTGAGTTATTGAAGTGCCTTACAGGAATCATCGCACACTGAGCACTGTCTCCAGCACGTGACATAGCCCAGGACTGGAAGTTCAGGAAACTCCTGTGTCTCCCATCCTGGAGCTGCTCCAACAGTCCCACTCCCACCTCCCAGGCTGGCACTGTTGGGACCAAAGCCCCTTTGCCATGGTGGCTCCAGTGACCTGAGGGGACCCTGTTTGGCTCCCCACACTCCACTCTCACAGTCAGACCAGGTTCCTCACCAGCTCAGCCCCAGGTTTCCTTTAAGGAACCAGAGGGTAGAGCCCACCCTCAGCACGCTGGCAAGAGACACGACAGAAGGATGGGGACATCCAGGGTCATCTGGAAAAGCTTGAGAAGTGGGACCACAGGAACTTGATGGCCAAGTGGAAGGGGCTGCACTTGGGTTGGGGCAATCCCAGGTATCAGCACAGACTGGGAGAAGGGCTGAGAGCAGCCTTGCAGAGAAGGACTTTGGGGGTTTTGGTGGAGGAAATGCTGGACATGAGCCAACAGCAAGCACTGGCAGCACTGAAGGCCAAATGCATCCTTGGGGTGCATCAAAAGAGAGGTGGCCAGAGGGGTGAGGGAGGCGATGGTTGTCCTCTACTCTGGGGGTTGGGATGAGATCATCTTTAGGGTCCCGTCCAACCCAAGCCGTTCCGTGACCCTGTGATTCCATAAGATGGCGACAGTTCCATTGTTCCCATCACAGCTCCATCGTGTCCAGGGACACAGGTGACAGTGTTTCAGAGCTGCTGAGGGCAGGAAGGTTCCAGAGCAGGTGTCACAGAGGCCAGGCTGTCCTGGGGCAGGAAGGTCGCTCCCAGCACATCCCTGGCTGGGCTGGATGAGTTCTGCTGGGGCAGAGCTGGCCTGGAGTGATGGGGCCGAGCCTGCTGGGAGCCACCATCCTCCTCTGCCTGGTCGGTGTCCTCCAGGCCTATGCCATCGAGAAGAAAGGGGATGTGTTCAAGAAGATGGCGTGTCCCGCCTTCCTGACGTTCGAGAACGTCGCCTACTTGGCAGACATGACCTTCGAGCTGCCCTGCAAGTGCAAGCCAGAGGAGGTCTCTTCCGTCGTCTGGTACTTCCAGAAGAACCTGCGTGGCCGCACGATCACGGTGCTGACGGACTTCGACGGCACCGTGGTGCTGGACTCGAGCCACGTCCGCGCGGGCAGCGACCTGCTGAAGCGCTTCAGCATCCGCATGTTCAGCCTCATCGTGTTCCGGGCCCAGCTGAGGGATTCTGGGCACTACCTGTGCGGCTCCAAGGAAGGGCACGTCTTCTACAGCTACGACGTGGACGTGCAGCCCATGGGGCGCATCACGGTGGCCTTCCTGGACAGCGGCCAGCACGTGCAGGACGACTACGTGGGGGAGCAGTTCAGCCTCTTCACCACCTTCTGGGACTGGAGCAGCTGCGACCGCTGCGGGGTGCGGGGGGAGCAGCAGCGCGTTGGGCTGTGCTATGTGCAGAGCGCCCAGCTGAGCCCCCGCTACCGCACCTCGCTGCCCAACGTCACCTCCTGCGGCTCCCGGGCTGTGCCTGTGAGCTTCCCACACCTCCTGCACCTCCGCAGCCCCGAGGTGGCCGTCCGGAGCTGCCTGATGCCGTGCCCGCCCAAGGAGGTGCCCGAGGAGGGCGTCCAGTCCATCTCCAACATCGTCTACAAGTTTGGGGAGAAGCCCGACGTGCCCCGTGTCCCCATCCAGTACCACAGCCAGCCCTCCCGCACCAACCTGGTGATCGCGTGCCCGGGGGCCCGCCCGGAGCACACCGTGGGCTGGGACAAGGACTCAGTCCGGCTCTACCGCTCCGAGTACCTTGTGGGTGTTGAGAAGGGCATGAGGGTCTTCATCGACCACGGGAACCACCTGCACATCCTGCGGGTGCGCAGGAGCGACAGGGGCACCTACTTCTGCTGGAGGGACGGCGAGATGGTGGCGGGATTCCGGCTCAGCGTCACCTTCCCGGCCCAGCGCCGGCGTGGCCCCGGCGACCCCGAGTCCATCTTCGTCATGAGGGCCGTGGGCATCGGCTTCGCCGTCATCACCGGCATCTTCTTCCTCGCCCACCTGGGCCGCTGCTGCTGGTGGGTGCTCAGGAAACCGGCCGGGTTGTAGTGTCTCCCCTGGAGCGCACTTGGATGCCTCGGATCATCCTCCTGTCGGAAATCTCCGGTGTTTTGACCGTTTTTAGTTTGCTTTTCACTTTTCAAAGGAAAAATATTTTTCGAATTAACCTGATGATTAAACATCTCTGGTTCTGGGGCTGTTTTGAACCCGCCCAACTCAGCACAGAGTTGGGAGCCGATGTTTGAGGTAGAGCTTAAAGGACACAGGGGCAGCACAGACCCCTCTCCCAGGCTGGGGCAGGGCAGCTCCTCAGCCTGCTCCAGGCTCCAGGGCCCCCCCAGGGAGCCCGGGGTGGCTGCAGGGGACACAATCTGCACTCATGAGAATGAGCTAAACACTCGGTGATGACATGAGGAGCAAAGCCAGGGAAAGGATGTGGCAGGAAGGGACAGAGCTACAGGAAACAATCAGCACCTCCCACACTTGGTGAAGGAGTGGGGTACGGCTGTTTGGGTCCCTGAAGGGCAACACCCCCACCCAGAGCACCGGTGTGACCCCAAAAGGGCCCACATGTGGAGGCAGCCCCAGCCCCAACTCTCCCTGAGGACTTTGCCCCCAAACTCAGCCCCCAGACACGACCTTGCAGAACCCCCAGGGAGGCACCAGCTGAGCCCTGGGTGCTGAGCCAAGGGCTGGTGCAGGCCAGGAGGGGCACAGCCACCAACCTGGCAGCACTGCTCCCTGCCTTCCCCTCTGAATCCCCAAAAATCTCCCAGTAGAACCAAACATGCCTCCCCCATCATGCTATAACACCCCCAGCCCCCCAGGAACCACCCCTGCATGGACTGGAGCTGTCACACAGGTGCTGGAAGCTGGGAACTGCTCCTGCATCCACACCAGCACGTGGTTTGTTTGTTGGGAGGCAGAGCCAGCATTAGGAAGGGCAGGTTTCCAGCACAGCTCAGGGATTTGTGGCAGGCAGGAATCCAGCATCCCCCAGTGAGCAGCTGGGAGCTGCTGGAAAAGCATCCAGACACCTGGACTGCTCCCTGCAAACAGCACCAGGTTCAGGCTGGAGTGACAGCCAGAGCCTCTGTCTGCCCAGTGAGAGCCCTGCTGGGATTGAAATCCACTGGCAGGTTTGCACCAGGAACAGGGAGGCACATGGACAGAGCCCCTGGGGAGCACAATTCCCAGCTCAGTGCCGAGGGGGCAGCCCTGGCACTGGGGCCAAGGCATCCAGCAGATCCATGTGGCATCCTGGGGTCACATCAGCTGCCAGTCTGGAGCTGTGCAGGGGCACCCTGGGATGTCACACCCCCCGTGTCCCCAGGACATGCAGCCACTCTCAGCACCAGTGCAGGCACAGCACAGGTTCAGGCTGTGTGGTTTTGGGGTGCTGTTGTGTTCCCCCATCCCCCACAGCTGACTGGAGGCTTCCAAAGTAAATCCAAGGCTCCAGTGAGCCCACCCAGCCCAGGAGCAGATGGGGTAGGAGCTCCTGCAAGGATCAGAGGTGAGTGCCAGGACTTACCAGAGCAGCTGTAGCCAGTGAGGAGGGTGTCCAGTGGTGGGAGCTGGGGTGGGGGCATGGAGCTGCTGGAGGACATGGCTTCAGATCCCATTTTCTGTGTCCTCATGCACTCGGGGGGGTTGGTTCAGGGGTGGAGAGGGAGCCCCAGGCTGGGTGAGGCCTGCTCTGATTCCCTCACGGTGCCAACTCTGGGCAGTGACCCCTTAGAACCCCGTGAACCCCCTTTGGGCACCCACAGCCTCCCCTAGGGCAGCGCTGCCCCCTTTGTGCCCTCTTAGCCCCTCTCATGACCTGACACCCCGTTAAGCCACAGCCTCCCCTATTGCCCCTTTTGGCCCCTAAAGCCCCTCTCACAGCCCTACAACCTCTTTGGGCCTCCCCAGCCCCCTCCCACAGCCCTGCTCCCCTCTTTGGGCTCCCACAGCAGCTCCCGTGGGAGGAGCTGGGGTTCAGGAGCAGCTCCCAGCTGCTGGAAAAGGTGACCACGGGTGGGAGAAGCAGCACTGGGATGTGGGACAGCTCCGGGTGTGCCGCTGTCCCACGGGAACCGGGGTCACCAACTCCTCCTGCCCCTTCCCTGCCTGGCAGCAACTCATCTCACCTTTATCTTCTTCAGCCTGGAAGCTTCTCATTAACACTCGCAGCCCACTCGCAGTTCGTTTGTCTCATTAGGGGAGGGCCGGGGAGGAGGAGGAGGAGGGGGGAGAGCCCAGCTCTGCCTCCCGCGGCCGCCGGCACTGGCAGCTTTGATCCCGCTGCGTGGGAGCCTGGAGAGGATCAATCCCTGGGGAGCAGCGGGTGCTCACACAGGACCCCAAAGCCCCGCTCTGTTCCCTCCACCCCGCGAGGGATGGAGGTCCCCTGTCACCAGGGCTGTCACACAGCACGTGTCCCCAGGGATGCCACTGTTCTGGCTGGGGACACTGAGTGCCACTATGGGGTGCGTAGGTGCCCCCAAACTGCCGTTTCGGAGGGCAAACCCCTGCCTGTCGCTGGACAGCTGGGGGGACACGGGGCTGGCTGGGGACAAGGAGCTTCTGGGCATTAAAGGGGGATGTGGGAGCTGCCCCAGTCCCACCAGTTTTGTCTCCAGCGGCTCTGGGTCCTCCCAAATTGCGCCCACAGGGACACGGCCGTGGCCGCAGCTCTCCCCACTGGCCACTGTCGGTGCCCGGCGATGGTGGCTCCGGTCCGGCCACATGTCCCGGTCCCGCAGAGGGCAGGAGCTTTTCCCGGCCATCGGCTGCCACCTGCTGCCAGCAGCAAGGCCAGTCCCCATCCCTGTCCCCATCCCTGCCCCTGTCCCTGTCTCCATCCCTACAGCAGCATCTCAGGGACCCCCCTGCCCCGCAGCTTCACCCCAGCTGCCTCTCGGGGCACCCACCCCGCCGCCACCATGTCTCGCTGGTGGCCCCAAAACATCCCCATCCCCCACACGGGCTGTCCCCGAGGCCCATCCATGTCCCAGTTTGCGGCCAGGACGCCGTGGCTGGGAGGGGACAGGGTTGGCGGTGGCGCCGTGCCGGTCCTGGATCCATCCCGCCGTGTTTCCCGGCAGTGCCGTGCCCGTCCTGGATCCATCCCGCCGTGTTTCCCGGCAGTGCCGTGCCCGTCCTGGATCCATCCCGCCGTGTTTCCCGGCAGTGCCGTGCCCGTCCTGGATCCATCCCGCCGTGTTTCCCGGCAGTGCCGTGCCGGTCCTGGATCCATCCCGCCGTGTTTCCCGGCAGTGCCGTGCCCTGGCACAAAGGCCCCTCCAGGCCGTGCCGAGCAGACACGGCTCCGGCCCTGCACAAAGCCCCTTTCAGCCGCCCTAAAAGCCCCTGGCACCCGGCCCTGCCTCTCACCACTCCCTGCCATGGGCCAACAGGGGCAAAAGATCCCCCAAAGTCAGTGCATATGTGGCTGGTGACATGGTCGAACACACAGCTATGGTGGGATAAGTCCCCTCTGGATCTGGGAGGGGACGGGCGTCCTGAGTCCTGTCCAGGCTCCAGGGCCACCAACCAGTGCTTCCACAGATCCAGTGGGATGGGAAGGACTTTGAAGGCTTCAGCCACTTAATTAACACCTGGCCTTAATTAATAGCCTGGAGTGATGGGCTGCTCATGCCAGGGCTTGTCCTGGAGGATGTGATATGGGGAGGATACGTACATATGTGTGCTCACATGTGGGGGTGTGTGCCCCTGTGTGTGCCCCTGTGTGTGCCCGTGTGTACACGTGTGTGCCCACGTGTGGGTGTGTGTGTGCCCGTGTGTGTGCCCATGTGTACACGTGTGTGCCCACGTGTGGGTGTGTGTGTGCCCGTGTGTGTGCCCGTGTGTGTGCCCACGTGTGGGTGTGTGTGTGGGTGTGTGTGTGCCCGTGTGTGTGCCCATGTGTACACGTGTGTGCCCACATGTGGGTGTGCCTGCGTGTGCACGGTGGGGTGGCTCTGTGTGTGTGTGTGTGCTGTGTGTACATGTAAGGGTAACTGGGCATGTGCCACTCTGGGCATGTGTGTGCATGTGCACACGTGTGTTGGCCTGGCTGTGCCTGTGTGTGCACAGCAGGGTGGCTGTGCCTGTGCACGCTGTGTGTGTGTGGAAGGGGAGCTGCGTGTGCACAGCTCTGGGTGTGTCCCGTGTGTGTGTGTGCGCACGTGTTCAGGGAAAGCAGCACACGTGTGTATCTGCACACTGTGTGTGTCCCCACGTGTGTGCCAGGCAGGGACACGGACAGACATGTGTGTGTGTTTCTGGAGGTGTCTGTGTGCACGTGTGTGCCTGTGGGCGTGCACACACCTACGAGTGGAGATGCAGGTGACTCCACACGTGTATCTATAGATCTCACACGTACATGTGTGTGGATCTCCCATGGCACCACACTCGGCCTTGCACCCACCCCCACCCGCTGCCTGCCCCGGGGGTGAACTTGGCCACTGCTCCATCTCTGCCCTGCCACGTGCCCCAGGCCCACCCGGGGGGGCCGGGGGTGTGCAGGGGGCTGTGCCACGGTGCCCAGGCTGGATGCCAGGGCACAGACACCCCTGCCAGGCGCCATGGCCTGGCTTTGTGCCGGCCCAGTGGCTCCCTGGCTGGCGGCCAGAGCCGGGGCGCCCAGCGGGACGGGGGCTCTGGGCTCCATAAAAACCCTCGGGAGGGCACATCACACCCACCCCAGGCATGGAGAGCCAGCGCTCGTCCTCCTACAGCCGCCGCTTCGGCCCCGCCACCTCCATGCACCGGGTGCCCCCCGCCAGCCCCCCAGTCCGGAGCCACCGGGGACCCCGTGGCACCCACCCGGCCGCCCGGCTGGGCTCGGGCAGGATGGACTTCTCGCTGGCCACGGCGCTCAACTCGGAGTTCCGGGAGACACGCACCAGCGAGAGGGTGGAGATGATGGAGCTCAACGACCGCTTCGCCAGCTACATCGAGAAGGTGCGGCTGCTGGAGCAGCAGAACAAGGTGCTGGTGCTGGAGCTGAACCAGGCGCGGGACCAGGAGCCCTCCCGCCTGGGGGACGTTTACCAGGAGCAGCTGCGGGTGCTGAGGCTCCACGTGGAGCAGTTGGGCACCGCCAAGGCCCGGCTGGAGATCGAGAGGGACAACCTGGCCCAGGACCTCAGCAGCCTCCAGCAGAAGTAAGGCACTGTCCAGCTGGGGCTACTTCTGGGGACCAGGGTGGCCACCAGGAGCAGGATGGAAAGTGGCCACTGGGATGGGTATCAGGGTGATTACCAGGAGCAGGGTGGCCACTGGAATGGGGACCAGGGTGACCACCAGATCCAAAGTGGCAGCAGAGACCAGGATGGCCGCCAGGATGATGACCAGGGTTGTCCTGGAGACCACGGTGGTGATGGGGATGGTGATGTGGCCGGGGAAGTGGTGATGTCATGGGAACCATGGTGGTGGCAAGGCCCAGGGTGACCCCTGGGACCAGGATGGAGACTGGGGGGTACCCAGGGATCAGGGTGGCCACGGAGACAGGAGCAGGGTAGCCCTGGGGACCAGGCACTGATGTGCACCAGGCTGGTGGTGGGGACCACGGTGACCCCTGGGAACAGCGTGAGATGGTGGAGGGGGTGTGGGATGGGTGCAGGCACTGACACAGGGTTTGGGTGGGTGCTGGGGCTTGACACAGGGGGGTGTGTCTGTGGGCAGAGAGGGACAGATCATGGTGCCAGAGGGATCACGGTGCCAGAGGGGTCACAATACCAGACATGTAATGGTGCCCCTGCTCTGGCACAGGCTGCAGGACGAGGTGACCCTGCGGCTGGAGGCCGAGAGCAACCTGGCTGCCTACAGGCAGGTGAGGGCAGGGGCCACATCCTGCACTGCAGGGGTTCAGCTCCCATCTTGTCCTCTCCTTGGGATGGGCAGGAATGGGGAGGGGGTGGACAGGAGCAGGCAGTGAGGGACTAGGGTACATTACAATGGGCAGAGAGGGGCAGAGAGGGGCAGGGATGGGGCAGGGATGGAAAGGGATGGACCATGGATGGGCAAGAATGGGCAGAAAAGGGGTGGGGATGGGCAGGAGTAGGCAGTGAGGGACTGGGATGTGTTATGATGAACAGAAATAGGCAGAAACAGGGCAGGGTTGGAACACGGATAGGGCAGGAATGGAACAGAGATTGGGCAGGAATGGAGCAGGGATGGGCAGGAGTAGGTAGTGAGGGACTGGGATGTGTTACAATGGGCAGAACTGGGCAGGAGAGGGCAGGAATGGGCATGGCCAGGCAGCTCAGGAGGGAGCAGACCCAGGGGGCCAGCCTGGGACTGTCTGCTCTGTCCCCCCACGGTGACAGGACGTGGACAACGGCACCTTGGCTCGCCTGGACCTGGAGCGGCGTGTGGGGACCCTGCAGGACGAGATCGCCTTCCTGCGCAAGGTCCACGAGGAGGTAACCCTGCCCAGGGGGGGCTGGGGGTCCTGGGGCTTGGGGGGCTGTGCTGACTCCCCTGTCCCCACCAGGAGCTGCGGGAGCTGCAGGAGCAGCTGTCCCGGCAGCGGGTGCACGTGGAGGTGGACGCCAGCAAACCAGACCTGACGGCCGCCCTGCGCGACATCCGCAGCCAGTACGAGGCCGTGGCCGCCAGCAACGCCCAGGAGACAGAGCAGTGGTACAAGTCCAAGGTGCAGATTGAGCTGGTGGCCTCACGGAGGGGTGGCCTGGCTGTTCCCCCCGGAATGTCACCTCCTTGGGGCTGGGGTTGCTCACCCGGGGTTGGGGGGTGGTGAGGGGGTGTGGGATCTCTGCTGTCCCCACCCGTGTCAGGGATGTTTTCTCCGTGTTCCTGGGGCTGTGTCCCTCCTGTGGAGCACAGCAGAGCTGTGCCCCCAGGCCATGTGCCACCGGGACACATCTCTGCTGCGTGGTCCCATCCCGTGGCCGTGTCCCTGTCCCAGTTCGCAGACCTGACGGACGCGGCCGCCCGGCAAAACGAGGCCCTGCGCGCGGCCAAGCAGGAGGCCAACGAGTACCGGCGCCAGCTGCAGGCCCTCACCTGCGACCTGGAGGCTCTGAGGGGCTCGGTAGGTGATGGCCATGAGGTGCAAGAGGGGGGACACGGCCTTGGGGAGCTGCCACCACCATGGGGTTCCCCAGAACCCCAGTGGGACATCACCCAGTGCTGGGGAATGGCGGCTCCCCTGGGGTGGGAGATGGGCACTGGGATGAGCCCCCAGCTCCTGGGAGAAGGTGGCCATGGAGGGTGTCACGGCCCCTTGTGGCCCCCCAGAACGAGTCCCTGGAGAGGCAGCTGCGGGAGCTGGAGGAGCGCTACGCCCTGGAGACGGCCGGCTACCAGGACACAGTGGCACGGCTGGAGGAGGACATCCAGAGCCTCAAGGAGGAGATGGCCCGGCACCTGCAGGACTACCAGGACCTGCTCAATGTCAAGCTGGCCCTGGACATGGAGATCGCCACGTACCGCAAGCTGCTGGAGGGCGAGGAGAGCAGGTGATGGCACAGGAGGGACTCCACGTCCTTGTGGTCCCTCTGGGGTGTCCGGCTGGGTTGGGGACCATCCTCCAGACCCCACTGCCCCAGCCCCGGGCGGGTGGAGCTGGGGGGCAGCAGGACCTCGCGCTCTTCCCAACACCCTGGTTGCTCCTGCAGGATCACCATCCCCGTGCAGAGCTTCTCCAACCTGCAGGTCCGAGGTGAGGCTGGGGGGGGGGCAGGATGGTGGCACAAGCAGGGATGGCTTCTGGGGGCTCTGTGGCAGGAGATGCCACCTAGGCCATCCCTGTCCCATCCAGAGGAACTGGGATGTTTTTCTCTGAATCTTATGGAACCAGGACTCCTGGTTTTCCCAGGATGGGGGGAGGAGGGTGCCATGGACACATCCCCCAGGCTGAGCGTGTCCCCAAGGCTGAGCATGTCCCCAAGCCCATTGATGTGCCCAAGACTGATCACATCATCACATCCTCAGTGACAACCACATCCTCAAGGCCAGTGACATCCCCCTGGCCAATTGTGCTCCCCAAGGACAAGCCTGTCCCCAAGCTCAGTCACATCCCAAAACCACCCATGTCCCCATGGTCAATGACATCTCCAAGGTCAAAAATGTCCCCAGTGCCAACTGTGTCCCCAGGGCTAATCACATCCCAAAATCAGCCACATCCTCAGAGCCAACACTGTCCCTGAGGCTGGTTGTGTCCCCAGGGCCACTGTCTCCCATGGTTCAGGGTTTTCCAGCCCAATCCATTTACTTTGGGCCTCTCCACCTGAGCGTGGCTGGAAGGGCCATACCCTGGCCACGGTGTCACTGCCTTGTCCCGGCCTTGTCCCCCAGAGAACAGCCTGGACACCAAATCTGTGTCAGAAACCCACGTGAAGAGGAGGATCGTGGTCAAAACTGTGGAGACTCGAGATGGAGAGGTGGGAAATCCTCATCCTTGTCACCCACGCTCCACCCCCTCTCCCCACGGGGTGTCCCCAGGAAACTTGTACATGGGGCCACCATCCCTGAGCCCCAGGAGCAGCCCGGGCAGGGATCCAGTGATCCCAGTGCCCTGAGAGCGCGGCTGGGCTGAGCCCGGCAGCTCAGAGAGAACACAGCTCCCTGTCACACGTGTCCCTGTCCCCATCCCCAAGCTCATTCGAGCCCAGGCAGGCTCAGCCGGGAGCGGAGCCTGAGCCGGGGGTGATGGTCCCTCTCTCCCTCCGGCTCCAGGTGCTCAAGGAGTCCAAGCAGGAGCACAAGGAGGGGCCGTAGGGCGGACGATCCCGAGCTCCGCAGGTCCTGCCCGACGCTTCGAGGGAGCCCCGCGGGCACGGGGGGCGGGAGGAGCCGGCGGTGCCTCGGGGGGCATCTCCCTCCCCTGCACCCCTCGCCTCTCCCGCCTCACCCCGTGCCCAGGGACCCCCCCACCCTGTTTGGGGCTGGCAGAGAGCAAAGCGCCCATCGGAGCGGGCACCGTGTGGGGCGGGGGTGGGCAGCACGCAGGACCAGGCAGAGCCAAGCTCCCCGGCGGGATCCTGCCGCATTCCCACAGCACGGCGTGCCGGTGGTTTGGGGGCTGTTCCTGCCTCGCCGCGGGTCTCCAGCTCGCCAGTGCCGATGGAGAGGATCCACCCTGTTTTGATCTCCATGCAGTCGTTGGACAAGATGATGGTGCCAAGAGCATCTCCTGCTCCCACCTTGCTGCCCTCTCTGGTCTGGGAGACCTCCCTGGATCTCCCCAGTACACCCTGACCCCCAGCACCCTTGGGTGGGGGCTGCAGAGTGCAAGGCACCCGCCGGAGAGGGACATTGCCTTGTCACCAGGGGTTGGTGAGCTCAGCTGAGAGGCAGGGGCAGGAAAATGGGGAGGATGGAGAGGCAGGGGAGGAGGAAGAGGACAATGGAGAAGCAAGATGCTCTTGGGATGGTGTCAGGGGATGATGAAATGGGGATCAGGAGGGATTCCTGGAGGTGTCCAGGGTGGTTTGTGGGGGCAGTGTGGGCTGGGTGGCCTCAAGAACTTCTCCTGGCACAGAGCCCTGGCACTGTCCTGACCCCCACACTGGGTGTCTGCCACCAGGGTGTCCCCAACACTGTGGTGGGGACAAACAGATCTGAGGGGTTCATGGTGAGGTGTGACCCCTGGCCCTACACTTGGGGGTCTCACATAGGGGAAAATGGAGAGAAAGGGGGTGCAGAGGAGGAGGAAGATGTTGGGGGCTCTCACAAACGGAGCAATCCCTGTCCTGCCTATCCCACCTGGGGTCACACTGTGAGCCAGGGGGTCTGGGGACCAGGGCTGCCCCAGTCACAGCCCCTGCCACACACAGAACCTGAGCCCATTCTTCCATGGGCATTCAGGGTGGGGTTGGAAGAAATCCCTTGTCCCTGGGCTGCATGTGGCCCTGTGCCCCCACCTGTCCTCCCCCAGACCACCCAGGGCATTGCCCAGCCCCACTCCCACCTTCACTGCAGCCACCGACCACGAGCAGAGCCTTCCCTGATGCCATCTGACACAGGAGCAAGGACCCAGCAGCACTCCCCGTGCCCTGCCAGCCCCTTGTGATGACACATCCCTGCTCTTGGATCCATCCCCTCATCCCTCTGTCCCCCTCATCCCCTGGCTCAGGTTTGCTTTGCTCCAACTCCAGAAAGGCCATTCCTGGGGCAGGAGATGTTACAGGAGCCCAGGGCGCTGCCCAGGGTCGGAACCCAGGGGGAATCCAGCGTGGCCCCCACGAGCAGCCTCCCTTGTTATTAATTACTGACTTATTAATTGCTGAGCCTATCACAGCTCGGGGTGAGGAATAAAGCTAATGAACATTCTGGTTGTTCCTGAATCCACCTCTCTGCAGCCAAGCCATGGGGTTTGGGAATTATCTGGGCATTGGGGCCCTTTGGGGGCCCAAACTGAGCTCAGTGCTGTGTGGGGATGTGCTCAGGGCTGAGCCCCACGGCACAGACACGCTCCAGGGGCCAACACCCGTGAGGGACCGAACACGGGGAGGGGGAGCAGGGATAACGCCCTGAGCTGGCAGCCAGGCAGTGGGGTGGAAGAGACCCCCTTCCCAGGAGGGGAAGCAGGGATCTGCTGAGGGTTCTCCACCCTCCCAGGAAACTCCTGGGATCCTCTGCTGCTGTTGGGGCTGAGGGTGGATTTGAGATCCTGCACATCATAGACACAGTTCAAGTGCCAGGGCATTGTTGGGCCCCTCAGTGCCCTCCTGGACAGTGACAGTTGTCTTGGGAATGTTGAAATCCCCAAGCCACATCCTTGGAAAAAGGGGATGAGCCTAGTGGGGACGTCCTGCTCCATACTGAGGAGCAAGTGGCCACCAAAACCCTGCAGAGATGCCACCACCTTTGGGGGACGTACAAGATAACATTGTCTGGCACAAACATTGACTCCCAACTCTGTGCTCAGTTGGATGAGTAAAAACCCTCAAAAATCAGACACGTTTCTGAAGAAAATCACCTGATTAATTTGAAAAATATTTTTTGTCCTTCAAAAATGAAAAAAAAAATGTTTAAACCAAAATTAAAAAAAGAAAAACAGGTTTGCTCCAGCTAAGGAGCTCAAAGGAACATTGAAGGGTTTGGGATGCTGGGACTCACAGTTCTCAGCAAGAAAAACAAGTTAAATAAGGGAAAAAAGGGTGAGAAAAGCAACTATTAATTGAATTAAAATAGTTTGGTGGATCTTTTTATCAGCCTTTTAGGAAAACAACTCTAATAAATCACTGATGCGGACCAAGAACTCTGTAGAGCTTGGCCAGAACATCTTGCATCAGCTCCAAGTTTTCATTGGAAAAAAAAGGACTTTATTGAGCTTAAACCCCCACTGTCAGCCAAGAACACATCCCGGCAGTGTGAAATCCTGCCAGGAACAAATCCTGGCAGTGCGAAATCCCACCTGGAACAAATCCTGGCGCTGTGAAATACCCCCTGTCCCCACTAAGCTGTGCCAAAACAGGGAGTTTCCCACATCAGTCCTCGGTGTCCTGCTCTTGCCCGAGGGCAGGGTGAGCAGGGGCTGGCAGAGATCGATTGGTGGTGGCCAAAGCATTGGAAACTTCCAAAGGGAGGATGATCCAAGTGCCCCGTGGGGGAGATGCTCCAGCCTGGCCAGGTTCCTGAGCGCCCACCAGCAGTGGCAGCCCGGGTGGGTGAGGATGAAGATATGATGATGATGAAGCCCATGTTTGCTCCCCACCGACCCTGCCTGGATGCCCAGGGTGGCAGGATGAAGATGATGAAGATGATGATGATGAAGCCCACATTTGATCCCCACAGCCCCTCAGCTCAGCTGTTGGCAGGTCAGGTCACACCACACACCCACGGACCAGGAGAGGCAGAAGGAATGGCACCACAGCAGAGTGCAGGGACACAGATGTCCCCAAGAGAGGTGCCACAAAGCCCAACATTCACACGTCAGGCCTCAGGGATGGATCCTGTCACCAGGTGTTGGGTGGTTCTTGTCTGCCAGGGTGAATCTGCCGTTTGCTGGGTTGGGTTTTGGAACAAAAAGGACCCGACAGTTGTCACTGGCATTGATTACATCTCCCAAATCCCCTGAGTGACCACGGACACAGGTGGAAAAGGGAAGGGACTATCTGGGTTTAGGTTTCTCCTTCACTACCCAGCAATGTTTTCTTTCCCTTGGTTTTCTCCTCATCCAAGAGACTCTCCCATCCCCATCAGTGAGGACACCCTGCCCAGAGACCACAGCACCACAGCTCGGGAACTGAACTTTATTTGTGCAGAACTCATGCTCCGGGTAGTGCCAAGGTCAGGCCTTGAGTCTCTTCTGAGCCTCTTTTAGCCCCTGAACCCCCTCAGCCGAGCTGGAAACACTTCATCAGCTCCACCACCATCCTTTCCTCCTCGTCTTCCTTTTCCGAGTGGGTGTCCATGGCGTGAGGTTCCCTCCCTGCCTCCTGGCCTGGCTTTTCGGCAGCCCAGCAATCCCTGCTCAGGCCCTGCAGCTTCCTGAACAGATCCCGGCCGCTCTCCTTCTCCGCCTGGCTCAGGAGCTCCACGTTCAGCCCGAAGCGCCGGGTGCCCGCCAGGCCCTGCAGGATCTCCAGGACGGCAGCCCCGTCTCCAGGATGGAAGTTCTCTGCCAGCACCCTCAGGAATTCCCCCAGGAGGCCAAAGCCCACGTCAGCCCGGAAGATCCTGCCCAAGGCCTCCCCTCCCAGCTCCAGCAGAAACCGGTATTTCTCTGTCCCGCTCTTCAGGCACCTGCGCCAATCCCTGTGGAATTCTGCAGCTGTTCCAGGCAGCTGATCCAGCTCCTGAAGGAAAAAGGAGTCACTCAGGTCCTTTTGCTTTGTTTCCCCTCAAAGGCTTTGGTCCCCCTGCCCCAATCAGCCAAAGATGTTTCTCACAGGGGCTTTGGCGGCACAAGGAGCTGCTGAGGGGGAAAATGAGAAGACAAGGAAATGCCAGGTGCCTCGAGCCCAGAGAAACCTGGGAACTCCAGGGGCAGAAGGGAAAGGTGGATGAGATGTGACACCTGGTGTGAACGCAGACGGTTGTGGAGTGATCCTGACCCCAACCAGAACTGCTGCCCAGCCAGCAGGATTAACCCAAACCGGCCCTTTTCCATGCTGTGGATCATTAAACTGTGGGTGAGGATGAGGAGCAGTGGCATAACCCAAAACACAAGTTCCACCTCAACATGAGGAGCTTCTTTCCATGGAGGTAGCAGAGCACTGGAACAGTTACCCAGGGAGGTCATGAAGACATTCCAAACCCACCTGGACATGTTCCTGTGGCACCTGCTCCAGGTGACCCTGCCTTGGCAGGGGGGCTGGACTGGGTGATCTCCAGAGGTCCCTTCCAACCCCAGCTGGGATTCTAAGGAAGCACTGGCTGTGCTCAGCCAGAGGCTGTTCCAGGGAGGATCCTGATGCACATCTCTGGGTTGCAGGAGTGTGGGCTGGGAGGGCTCTGCTCCCCCATTGTTCCTGCAGACCGTGGGAGGCACTGGGAGCTCTGGGCCCAGGCTGTCCAGCCGCCATTCCCACAGGGATGGAGCTGACTCTTCCTGAGGGGGGCCAGCCCAACCCTGTGGGGATCCAAACCCTGATGTTCCAGGGTCTGGGAGGGCTGGCTCACAGTCCCTGAGTAACTCCTACATTCCAACTAACAGCCAGACTGTTCCCAAGCCATTTCCAGCTGTGGAGGAGGCCCCGGAGTCTCCCCCTCACCTGTGGGATCTCCTCAGTGTGGGCAGGTGATGCCTTGGCTGGGGCTGCACAGGGATTCCACAACACATTCCTCCTCTGCCCCAGCCTGTCCTTCTTCTCCAGAGGCTTCAGATGTGAGGCCAGCACGATGTTCCTGCAGGGAACAGGGATGGGAGGGACAGGGGGCAAGAGAAAA